TCCTGGTTGTTGGTTCTTTGAAGTATTTCCCATGCAGTTTGGTTTTTGTTTATGACTTCTCTGCTTATTCCTGTGTCTTCAAGATTTCTTCCTACTTTCCCTTCCAGTAGGTTTAGTGTTTCTGATTTAATAATTAGATCTTTCAGCCATTTTGACTTTATTTTAGTGCATGGTGATAGATCATGGGTCTAGTTTTAGTCTTCAGCATGTGAACAGCCAGTTTTTCCAGAACTTCTTATTATAGAAGGTATTATTCTTTCAGTGAACATCTTTGGCACTTTTGTCAAAGATATGGTAACGGAATGTATCTGTGTCTGCATCTTCTAATCTGTTCTACTGATCCTTGGGTCTGATTTTTTTTTCCAGTACCATGCTGATTTTATCACAGTAGCTTTGTAGTATAATTTCAAGTCAGGGATTGTGATGCTTCCTGCCTTGCCTTTGTTGTCCAGGGTTGCTCTTGCTATTCTAGTTCTTTTCTGTTTCCTAATGAATTTTAAGAATGTTTTCCTAAAATGTCTTCTAGATCTTGGAGGTATACTTGGTATTTTGATTGGAATTGCACTAAGTCTGTATAACAATTTCAAGAGTGTGTTTGTTTTCACTGTGTTATTCTTCCTATCTATGAGCAAGGGAGAGCTCTCCATTTTCTGCCTTCCTCCTCAATCTCCTTATTCAGAGTATTGTAAGTTTCACTGTATAAGATCTTTACTTCCTTTGTTAGATTGGTTTCTAAGTATTTTATTTTTTTGGATGCTATTATGAAGTGTGGTCTTTCCCTAATTTCTCTCTCAGTGAGTTTGTTGTTTGTGTACAGGGATGCTATTAAGTTTTGAGTGTTGATTTTGTATCCAGCTATGCTCCTGAATTTGCTTATTAATTCTAAAATTGTTAGATTGGAATTTTTTTGGGTCTTCTATGTAAAGTATCATGTCATCTGCAATATTCCACAAATTTTGATGTGGTGAATTTTCATTGTTCTTCAATTCAGTATATTTTAAAATTTGTCTTGGTACTTTGTCTTTGGCTCATAGATTATTAAAAAGTTTGTTCCTCAGTTTTCAAGTAATTTGATATTTTCCTGTCATTGATTTCTAGTTTAATTTCATTCTACTTGTGGATGCATTTGTATTGTATTAATTCTGTTAAACTTGTTGAGGTTTGTTCTGTGGACTAGCATGTGGTCTGCCTTAAATAATGTTCATCTGCCCTGAGAAAAATGTCTGTTCTGCTCCTGTTGGGGAAAGTGTTCTACAAATGTCAGTCAAATCTTCTTGGCTCATGGCATTTGATCCTTGCTACCTAGCTGTTGTATCAACTGTTTTGTGGAAGCATGTGTGTCTTCAGGTCTGTCAGTCTCTGTTTCACATGTTGCACTTCTCTTTTGGGTTCATGTACATTATGATTGCGTTGTTTTCTTAGGTGGATGGACTTTTTATCACTGTATGATGCGCTTTTCTTTCTCTGTTGCAAAATAATGTCTATTACAGAACAACCAAGTGTACAGTGATATTAATCATGTGTTATCTTCAAGTTTACTGTCTTAAGCTCTGTCTCTCCATTCTGCTATTGAATGTAACCATTGGATTTTTAAATATTTGTTATTGTAATATTTGGTTCTAAAATTTCTGTTTGATTTTTCTTTTAATTTCTGTTTGTTGTCTGAGAATTTCAAGTTTGTCCATAGTTACTCTTTCAGTTCTAAATCTGAGAACACAGGAGGCAAAAGGAAAACCCAGCTCACACTGTGTTATTCATAGCCATTTCACCCCCCCCCCCGCCACACACACTTTTCAGTCTTTTACATTTGCTTTAAAGATAATTTTCAGGGCCCTTAGTTGTACATACACACTGTTATCTGCTCAGAATCAGATGTTCCATCTGGGAATTTTATTTGGTTTATTTTTATAGGCAGGTCTTCTTTCCTGCCTAAGGCTTTTAGGCCCAAGATTCCCTAAATCTACTTGTTTAAGTTCTTTTTCATGGGAAGGAGAAATGAGTGTCCCTATCCAGAGATGAGCACTGGATACTCTAGGCATCTTTAGTTTTTTTTTTTTTTTTTTTTTTTTTGTCCCTTTTAAGGATTAGGGGCAACCATAAGGCAAACAAGTTTGCCTTATTCATGTTTACCAGAGGGTCATCGATCTATAGAGGTAAATGGAAGCTCCCTTGGCATAAGAAGAAGGGGTTACACCCCAAGAGCAGTAAAGAACTCATCAGTGGTACAAATGGGGTCATTAAGGAGTCTCTTCCAGCTTGGCATGTTATTAGAAGGCACAGTCTTTTCTTTGTTGATGGTGAAAGCCTTGGAGTTATTCCCGTTCTTTTCTTCCTTCTCCTTCTTCCTCCCTCCTTCTTTTCTTTGGCAGCACTGGGGATTGGATACTGAGTTACATTGTCAGCCCTATTTTTATTTTGGGACAGGGTCTCTCTAAGTTCATATGTGCCCAGGCTGGTTTTGAGCTCGCAGTTCTTCTGACTGAGTCTCCCAGAGTGCTGGGATTACAGCATATACCACTGTACCTGCCTGGAGCCAGCCTTCTTTGAACCCCTTCTTGTACCAAGTCTGCTTCTTTAGAAGTTTGTGACTTAGGGAGATATAACTTAGATAGAAAAGCATGTTTTAAATACAGCTAAGTTTAGATCCTAGCTCCATGTCTTTTTTTTAAAACTTTACTGAGAAACAAGTAACAATGAGACAGTTTCAAAACTGATTAATAGGACAATTTCAATAATTAATACATTGCATATTGTTGTCTTTGTAGTGGTTATTCATAGTACAAGGTGCAGACATGATATCCTATCCAAACATTATTATTACAAATCTTTCTTCTCATTGAATTAAGAGAAAGTAGCTGTATATCTATCCTATTTTGTATAAATAGATACAAAATGGTCCTTCATTTGTATCCCCTTTTTTGTTTAGTTTTGTCAGAGATGGATATTCCATTGCCATTTAAATATTGTAGGTGCATGAATTTGGCAAAATAATCCAATATACTCCAGTAGTCCATAATAGTAGTGAGTTATCCACAGGACTGGCAACGTCAGAAATTGTTGACTTGAGCCTTTTACAGTTCAGCATATTAATATGGCTTTACTTTTCATAACTCATTATTATACTTTTCAGCTGGATGGTTAAGACCAAGATAAAGCAAAACCTATATAACAAGAAATGTAACTTTTGTATCTGGCAAGGTCAGTCAAATCCCTTCAGGATTTAGCATGAAACCCTGTATTGCAGTTTGTAGATCCTTTGTCAGTGTCAGCCTTGAGGATGAGTCACTGCCATGCCTGACCAATTTGCTCTCTGTGAAAGTCTGAGAGAATGTTTTCTCTCCATGTGACTCTCTTTAGGCACACTCTACATTGTTGATCACTTTCTTCTGTGGCCCCATAATCTCCTTGATCAGAAAATTTGGGACATTACTGAGTTACAGGATGTTACAGTACTGGTTCTCTTATGTCCTGAGTCCTCACTGACCTTGAAAGGCTAGGGCCAAAATGTTGCCTAGCTCCATATCTTGGTAGCTTTGAGTCTTAGAGTTAAATCATTCACTTCAAAACAGTCTCGTGATGCCTGATATGGATCAGCCACCATGCTGAGCTCTTGGTGTGTGGTGGTTAGTACCTGTATCTGCTTTTTTCCCCCTTTCTTTCTACCCACCAGAGCACCTGATTGGGTTTACTTAAGAAGCATATCTTATAGGGCCAGCCAGCTAGCTCAGCAGACTGAAGAATTTGCTTCAGCAGAGCACAGTGGCTGGGATTTGATCCCAGGCAGGTTGTCCTACTCCTACCCCTGGGATGCCCTGAGACAGCAATTGAGACTGTGCATGGTGGCGTGTGCCTGTAATCTCAGTGCTTGGGAGGTTGAAAACAGGAGAATCACTATGAGTCTGATCTACATAGTGAGACTCTGTGCACCCTGAACACCTTGTCCTAAATTAATAATTTAAAAAATGTATATCTGAACTCAGACTGTTTTTATCTACCAACTGATTTTTCTTCCAAGCTGTGATAGGTAACCTAATCTTATTTTTTTCCTTAAATCATTTGTCCCAATTCAGTCTTTTTAAAAACATGCATTAGATTATTACTACCTTGTCTCAGACCCTCCAGTTATATACTGAACTGTATAGAAAATAAAATCCAGCACCCCCTTGTACCTGGGATGGCCAAATGGTTTGGTTGCTGCTTTGCTTCATAAGTTTCTCCGGTGTCTCCTTCAGCCCTGTAGTACACTCTGTCCATGCTGCCTTAGTTCTCTCTTCCTGAAAATGTGCAGCTTGCTTCATCCTGGGACCATTATACCATAATATCCTATGCCTGAGATAACTTCTCCATACAGATTTGAAAGGCTGGCTCTTTGTTGTTATTCAGGCTTAAGTCAAGTACACTTCCATCCTTCCCCCTTGGTTACTTTTTATCAAATCACCTATGTTCTTCCTGTTCCTGGCTCTGACTTAGCTCTTAATACAATTTGAAATGATCCTTTATTTGTCTACTAGATTGAGAGCAGGCATTCTGACCCTTCCTTAATTGCCTTCTGTGCAGGGCCTAGAGCATTTCCTGGCACAGAACAGTAAATGTTTGTTGATTAAAGTTGCTTAACTCTCTAAAGCCTCAGTTTCTCACCTGTCATGTACAATAACTGGATTTTTTTTTTTTTGTGGCAGAACCAGGGATTGAACTCTTATCTCCCTGGCCCCAATAACTGGCTTTTAAAAAATTTCTATTTAGATTTAAGCAAGATAAATGTATGTGGAGTATTTAGTTGCTTGGCTTACATTTTGTCCCATAATAACTTGTCATTGTTTCAATATGACTGCTTCAGTTACCATGTTCACCAACATTTGCCAGTCCTCCTTATGCTCCTGATGGAGCTAACAGTCTATACAGAGTTTTATGAGTATTGGTCATTGCAGACACAGACTCTGTAGATGACTGCAGTTAAATTCTAACTCAGTTCTCTCTTGGCCATGTTTTTTTCTGTACAGGTCCTGCAGCTGGGCTCAGACATCCTTCCCCAGTACAAGCAAGAGGCACCAAAGACTCCTCCTCATATCATCTTACACTATTGTGTTTTTAAGACCACGTGGGATTGGATCATCTTGATCTTGACTTTCTACACAGCCATCTTGGTCCCTTACAATGTCTCCTTTAAAACCAGGCAGAACAATGTGGCCTGGCTGGTTGTGGATAGCATCGTGGATGTCATCTTTTTGGTGGACATTGTGCTGAATTTTCATACAACCTTTGTTGGACCAGCGGGGGAGGTGATTTCTGACCCCAAACTTATCCGCATGAACTACCTGAAGACATGGTTTGTGATTGACCTTCTGTCCTGTTTGCCATATGATGTCATCAACGCTTTTGAGAACGTGGATGAGGTTAGTGCCTTTATGGGTGATCCAGGGAAGATTGGTTTTGCTGATCAGATTCCACCACCACTGGAGGGGAGAGAGAGTCAGGTACATCCTCAAATCTCAGACCTTGTTGTCATGTCTTTAATGCTGAATTAAACATGGGTGGTCAACAGAAGAGTAACTGAATGGGTGGGAACTAGCATGACTGATGTCCACCATTAAGGGTGCATGCTTCCCAGACATCCTTGCCTGCTATTCCTGTCCTTTGGAGGATTGGAGAGCCTGCATGCCGGTGAATGGGTATGGAAGAGACCAAAAGCTTGCTGTTATTCCTCATGGAGTACAAGCTTCTGGCTAAGGGGAGATGCGGCTGCTGCACTGGCAGATGTTCCTTTTGGTTCTCAATTGTTGAATGTCTACTATTGCTTGTCCTAATTATGGCAATTTTCCTTTACCTACTGCTGACTTGTGGCTGCTTTAGAGGCAATTGACATAGTAATAGATACCACATTATCTCATTCCATTTTTTCCCTCTGTAAATGTTGGTTTGAGTTATTTCTTTGCTAAAATGAGTTTTGGAGGTAATCATCTGTTGGGATGTTCAGGTATCTCCCTGTGGTTAAAAGGTATTGGGTTTTGGTGGATTACTTTGGGTTGTTAGCCTTGGAGATGATAAAAAGAACTAAATAATGATAAACAGTCTGAATGTCTTGGAATTTTGACGTATTCAAAAAGTGATTGCCTGAATGGTTGCTTGGCACAGTCAATGTCTCCTTTGAAAAAGCAAAAATATCAAATTATTGCAAAGAAACATTTCAGATTTTCATTTAGTTTTTGTTCAGTGGGAATTAGTCTTTGTCCTACTTCTAGTTGATACTCCAGATGAATTAAGATAAGTGAGTTCATTTGATTAGTGCTTACAAACTTCTTCAGAGATGGGCCCTCATTTTCCCAGATTCTGGAGGGTTCCAAGGATGAACTAGGCAGATATTTGAGGTGTTCATCTGGAAGCTGAGTTTAGGGAAGACACTTGTTGGGCTGAAGAGCCATAGACTCAACCTTGACACACCTGGGAGGAACAGTTTCATTCTGCTGAGATTTGAAGACCTGCCTAGTGGCTGTGTCTTGCTGGTGGTGTAATGGTGCTGCTTTGGCTTCTGGCCAGCCCC